GTACTGACAGGTGCCTGGCAACTTTATAATTACACATGATTATCAAATAACTATAACAAGAAATTGTGCCACTGTTTCTTTAACAAGGGAATCTAATAGCTTCTTTGTTATGAGGACAAAGGATATAATTAGAGAAATAACAAAAGACAGAACTGAAAATGTAGCGGGAAACAAAGGGGACTGCTCAGTACTGAGAAAGCAAAGACAAGAAAATTGACATCTTCAGACATTTATGAAAATTCACTAATAAAGAAATCCTTAATAATTACAAACAAATAAAACATATCAGTATGAATGCTAAAAATCCTATCATCAAATGTTATATAGACAGAAATTTCAGCAGTAGGAAATCATGTCTACTTTATTGAAACATTGACTGTAAATGTACATAAAAAAAGGCATAAGTTCTATGTGCATCATATTTTGTACATAAAAAAATACAAAGTAAGAGAGAGAGAGAGAGAAAGAGAAATATATATATATATATATATATATATATATATATATATATAATATATATATATATATATATATATATATATAAATACACAAAAATAAATGCCTGTTACATGTCACACCTCTATGGTGAGTTTAAAATGTTTTGGCTTTCTCATCTACTTAAAACTATTTGCCATGCTAACAACTAAGGTCATCTATTCACTTAATTGCTCCTTTCCTTAAATGTTTGGATAATTTGTAACTGTTTAATAAATTGGATCATAAATTATTTAATTCTTTATTCTTCTGATAATTACTTTGTCTCCCTAAAGAAATCATTCTTCCAAAAATACACAAATGACAAAGGAAATAAATAATCAAAAAGGAAAACAACATAGCTAGGAAGGTAATATAATATAATACAAAGATTAGTGAGCATAACTCTCAGGTGTCATTTCATACAGGCCTTGCTAACTCTCATCTTTTTTATCTTAAAATGCAAGACTGAAATAAATCTACAAAATAGAGGGATTTCAAAAGAGCTAAGGTACACAGTCATCATCATAAAAACAATTATATCACCAAGTAAACCAAATAGGGTTGAAAATGCAATACAAGGTATTTCCTTGTTTATATTATATACAACTACACTGCAATGACACCATTTGAACATAATAATACACTTCACTTTACCTTTCTCTTTGTCTACTCTGATGACAACGACAGGTTCCGTCTTGCCCACTCTAATTAATTTATTCATAGATCGAATACGTCGCCTGGAAAGCTCAGACAACAAGATCATGCCTTCTATGTTGTTGTATTCTAAAAGGTGCACATATGCACCCATCTCTGCTATGCTTCTAACAGTTACCATCACCACATCATCCATTTCTGGATATTTCTGCGAATAGTATCGACAAAAGAGCGGCATGGTGGTGGATTTGTTTTGCTCCCCTGGAATACAAAAGCAAAAAGTTATTGGAATTTCCAGTAATAATAAAAACAGACAGTAATGTGCTTAGTTTTCTTAAAATAACTATTTCTTTTATATGTTAATATCTACATCTAAAATTATATTATATAGGATTATTAGAGATGATTATCTGCTTAAATATTGGCAGCTCAGAGCAATACATTAATTCTGCATGGGTATCTTAAAACTTATTCTAGTTACATTTTGATATAAAGGTTAAAATTATTACCAATGTAACCTACACAAAATAGTTACAAGATTCTTCCTTAAATTATACAATATAACCTATATCATAATGAATTTACAGGAAATGGGGGGAAAGAGGTCCTGTAACATACGAAACAGCTGACATCAAAAGTAACTTCTACTTTTCTAGAATACTAGATCTATATATATTTAATTTCAGCTGATCTGGTGTCTTTGCTTTACATAAACTTTAACACCCTAAGAAACATACCCCATGTCAACACATACACCTCTGTTGCTGTGGCTGTTTGAAAAATCAATAAAAAATATTCAATATTTAGGGTCACTCCCCCAAGCTTGGACAGACCCAAATCCCCCCCCCCCAGCCCTTCCCATGAATTGTGTTCAAAAAATACAAAAACACACTTTAGTATGCAAAAGGCTAGCTGATGAAGTGAATAAGGGCACTTAAGCTCAGATCCATGTTAACCTTTTCTTTATGAAGTCAAAAAGGCACACCCTTTCGAGGCAAGTAATAGTTAATCCCCCTTAAAATTCTTTCCCCCTATTTGTCACTACCTCTTTTCAATTTCCTTTGCGGTATTAGTTGTCAGAGCATATCTGATGTAAAAGACAAATAAATGAGTAATGTTACTGATATCGACAATATATAAAATGATCTTACTTGTCTTTCTTCAAAATGGTCTTTATAAACTATTATGTAATATTAGAAAAATGTTAGGATCACACTGAAATAGGAGCTTTCTCTCTATTATCTGTCTCCTAACTTGCTCCTATTCAATATGTTATTTAGTAAACAAAAAACCAGTTCAACAAAATTATGGGTAGCAAGAGCTGAATTCAGGAAGCAATTATTTAGGAAACAATTGTAACTATGATGTTAAAGAGGGAAGTCTTTAATATTCATAGGAAAATCTAAGCTATTATATTTGCATCAAATCCAGAATAATTTTTGGATTTGGCAAATAGTAAACCTTTACATATTTTCTAGAAGATTCATCTATGATTTATGAAGAGATGGATTTTCCTTTAATCGCTATGATGAGATGTTGGCAAACTTAACATGAATATAAGAGAATAGCATAGCAAACTGTCATGTTGATTCAGATTATATATATATATATATATATATATATATATATATATATATATATATATATATATATATATATATATATAATTTTACATCAGGGGGAGGTGATTTTACTATATGGTATACAATGTCAATACTGACAATAGTAGCCATGACCTGTTTAATATTTGTTATTTTATTAAATGTTGACAACAAGCAATGATACTGGACTTTGTATTTATACTTCCTTGTAATATTGCTAAACCTTTGCCCTTCATAAGTCACTCTAAAAATAAATTGGATTTATGTTTATGGTATGGACCCACTAAGGCAGGAGAAATCAAGATGATATCCTTGTACAGGATAAAAAGCTGTAGTCGTTGCACTAGATATAATCTGGATATGAACAATAACACTGCAAATAAAGGATAACGATCACAGAAAGAGCCCCACTCAACCACAGTCCACAAGGTCTTCCCAAGTTTCAGCTCTATCTTGCTGTGTATACAAGACAAAGACAATATTTCCTGTGGGGTTTAGGGGACAGAGCCTTCCATCTACCCTCCACTGGGGTAGTGCCTAGAGGGCATGCCCAGTCACAGCAATTTAGATTGTTAAATAAAGTCTGTGGTGAGGAGATGGGTGATTAGTCTTTGGCAAGTGCGTACATATTGTGAAGAATTACCGTAAATTGTTTAGAAAGAGATATCGAACACTATATGGATAGTGAGGCAAATGTGGGAGAGCAGCCATCTGGCAAACCTTCCTGTACATTTTTTGGAGATCAGAAATTGAGCTGTTCTTCATTTGACAATAAATCTCCAAGGGAGTCTGCAATCTACAAACACAACGGTTACTCTTTCAAATTAAAAGGGACGTACCCTTTTATGAATTATATACCATTTACAATTTTAACTTTTCTTAATTGTAACACTTCAGAAAAGGGTAAATTTTAAAACAAGGACTGTGTGCTGAGTGTGAAAAACTAAGGTGAAGCCAATAAACACAAAAGTACAGAATTGCTAGAATATTTAATTTTTACCATAGTATATGACAATCATGGCTTTCATGGCTGAGTAACTGGAATCAACCAATGAATGAAAACCAAGGTATCTAGACTAGTAAGAAACCAACCTTGATGCCCAACTTCTGCACAACTACAGGTCTCGTCTCATAAGAATTAGACGAGGACTTTTCTCCCATTCATTAATGTAAGTTGCAAAAGCACTACTATATTTAAACCACACACCACCAAACTAGGGTCAAAAAGCTTTTCAATGCATCTTAAAAACTTATTGCTGATTCAACTTGTTTTGTTTGCTATAATTTGAGAGAACCTAAGCATACCGTGTTCAAATGGACTCTTTCCTCGGTGAAGTATTAGGTAATTCTTTAAAATACAGGTGCACTCTCCCATCTCGAATCCACAAAATTACATGACTGGGCGTGCCCTTTAGGCACTGCCCGAGGTGAGGCTTGATAAGAGGCTCTGCCCCTCCAACACCCCAGAAAACATTTTCTTCACCTCCTTATGCATGCTATGATAAAACTGAAACTCAGGAATATCGAGTGGACTTGGACTGCAAGTTGTATGTCCCAAGGCCTTTTTTCCTTACCTGTGGCATTACCAATCATGTCTACAGATAACTCCTTGTACTTACAACTGTAACTTTCTCTCTTCTTCAAGAAAATCCTATTGTATTCTAGCTTAGTGCATCCATACTCTAAATATTAACCAAGGATTTAGTGGTATACCAAATGTATCGAACTTTCACTATAATTATTGGTCAATGGGAAATATGGCCATTTGTTGAGATACTGAAAAAAATATAAAATCTATAAATCTCTCTAATACATGTACTGTTAATCTTAAAGAACTTGTATGTTTCTCCGTATAGCTGTAACAAAAATATGTGCAAGAGTAATTATCTTTTTTGAATGATTTTGGTAGGTCTTTGGGGAGTGGTAAGAGGAGGGCTAAAATATTAATGTCACACAAAAGACGCCCGTAGTCAACCCGTTCCCGATAACTATGGACAATCTTTTCCGAAAAGGGCTCATGCGGAAAAATAATAAATAAATTGAACTGTCCATCTGTAGGGTCTCTTTGGCTCCAACTTTCACGAGGTCGTCAATTAACATGTGACGAAAAGGAGTCGCTTTTTCTCCTTGGCAATCATTCAGACACACGCAACATATGCATATATTCAAGTAAATTTATGTAATTCAGCCCCGAAGACCAACCTTCAAGTAATAAATCTGGAAATTCTCTCTAGACACACAACATCTGACTACACCGGCCACACGCTCATGACGTTGAACAGCTGGAACGCGGAACGGAACAGAACCCTGGCGTACAAAAATAATTTTGGTAAAATAAATAACGGTATTACGTGGATGACATTTTTATGTTTTGTACTAGGTATTCAAGACACATCTTATGTACTTTCTGAATAACTTTTAGGTCCAATTTCTATCTTTGGAATAAAAATCCTATGCCAAGACTTTTCTGCAATTTCATTGTTATGGCTGATGCAATACAGATTTTCGTAAAGTTATCTTATAAACAACAATAAGTATATGGAACAAGAAATTATATCTGATTACAACATATCGGTTCATTCTATATTAAAAAGAACAGAATTACATATGAAAAAGACTTAGAATAATTATTTTGGTATATAAGCTTTTCATACCATAATATCATTCCTGTTGGTTCCTCAATTTGTTTACAGACAAGGAACGAGGAATGAGGCAGTCGGAAAAATGTACGAGTTACTCTTTTTTGACACTTTCTCGCATGAAGTGAGCGATGTAAGTTTTACCACCAGCACCACCTGTAAAAAAGAATGTTTTTATGCTAGCTTTCAAACGTGAGAAGTAGGGTATCATATGAGTAGGTAAAGTACTATAATTACTGGGTTCTAGGCTTTGGGCCGATTGCCCGAATTCACTTATCATTAATGATTATCCATATGGAGTTTTAGGGTTTTAATTAAATATCATGTTATTCAGGTTTGTATTGAAAATTATGAGATTGGAGATCTAGAAACCTACGTTAGCCTGACTGCTATTATCTTTAATTTTTCGTTTCCAGAAAGTAGGTATTCACTAATAGTTTATCCTTTGCTTCATATAATTGAATTAACTTATTAACGTCTAATAGGGAGTTATTTTCATGATGAGGCCATCTCCTATAATATATATATATATATATATATATATATATATATATATATATATATATATACACATATACACACCCACACACACACACACACACACATATATATATATATATATATATATATATATATATATAATATATATATATATACATATATATATGTATATTAGCATAGTCAAACATATAATGCTGATCTCACTATAGAAAGTAAGTCTTTAATGTGTATTTAAATTTTATTGTCTGTAAATAATTATTCTAAGGGTTATGATGAATACTGTTTATATATTGTGACTTAATAATATCCAGTAACATGTCCATAATTTGTACTTGAGCCTTTACCCTTAAAAAGGTAAAAGCTTATGGTAATTATTCATGAAGTGACTGCATCCCTTGGAGTCAAAATCTCTAATTCTTCAGCTAACAAGCTTTGGATACACTCCTGGGAATCCACAAACACTACTATACAAACCAATGACCTTCCTAACCCTATACTCCTAGACCCCACCTCATTACTTAATTCCCCTGGCTGGGGAATCCACCACTTGACCCCCACTCAATTACTCGCCAGAGATTAAGTCCCCAACTCCATGTCACAAAGTTTATGTTATGTAAATATATGCTAAGCTTGTGAATAAGTTATCAGGACTATATAGATGCAAAGTGTTAAAAGGGAAATGATATGCTCAAAATACATTAACAGCAGGATGTTTTAAGATGAATCTGACATATCATTGTTTTGTTACTAGAGAAGTTGAGTTTGAATCTTAACTTTTTAACCTTCAAATTCCAGAAAGTTCAGCTGGACCTGGTCCAGTTCCCAAGGCCAGTGCAAGTGACAGAGGTGAGAGCTATTCCTCTTGGTGCTCGAGTTCAGGCAGATTTCCCTGGAGGAGTTCGTCTTGGGTAAGTTTCATTGGGATTTATATGTGCAAAACTTACTCAAGCGTGTGTGACTTATGTTTTACTTTTAGTAATCATGCTCATATTTGCCTTTGTTTATACACACCTGCACCCTTGCACACACACACACACACAAACACACACACACACACACACACACACACACACACACACCACACACACACACACACAACACACACACACTCACTCACTCACTCACTCACTCACTCACTCACTCACTCACTCACTCACTCACTCACTCACTCACTCACTCACTCACTCACTCACTCACTCACTCACTCACTCACTCACTCTCACTCACTCACTCACTCACTCACTCACTCACTCACTCACTTTCTCTCCCTCTCTTGAACTTATGATGTATATTTAAAATGTGTATTTGTTTTATATATGTTTCAGTGCTACAAACCCAAGCCAATTTGAAATAGAGTTTTTTGTGAATGACCTGAGCAAAAGAGGTGCAGGAACTTTTGAGAGTGTTGGAACACTACAGTATAATCAACATGGAAACATACAGATGGACTTCGAGAAGAAGGTAAGGAATTGAGAGTAATGTAGTATTTTAGAAATTTTATATTCAAGAAGATGAGGAATATAGAATTATGTAGCATTTTAGAAATTTTATATATAGATCTTGATTTCTTTCTACCTTCTTAAAATCTGTTTTATTGAGGGAGACTAATTGTAAGAAATATGTAATGTCCATGTATTTTCAAGATTTTAAGAAAATAACTTTGTTGCTTTGTTACATGGATCAGTGATATATTTGTTTTTAGAATATGTACAAACCAGCTCTTGCTTCTGGGATTCTGAAGGCTAAACCAAAACTTCTTATCAGGTACCGACAGATGGACTTCTGCTTCGAGGGAGCTACAATACCATTACACTGGCTGTCTATGGTCATTTGACAAAGGTGCAAAGGGAACCAACCCCACCCAAGTCAACCAAGCGAGGAGAAGTAGTGCCACACCCACCCCCAGAGAAGGTCAACACCCATGACCGTATTCGGGACTGGTTAGAGGATACCCAGGAATGTGTAAGTTTTACCTCTATACATTCCATATTGTTAGTAGAATACTTGGTATGAATGTCTCTTGTGTAGTGTATATATAGGCATTCTGTATTTTTCTTCTAAATTTTTTATTTACCTAATTTTTTTTCTGGAGATTAATCAATGTCACTTCTGAGCATGCTCTTCACTCTGTACTAAGTATAGATTTTTGTTTATGCTGCATGTCTGTCATTAGAATTTATCTCTACAGCGCAAGCAGCAGCCATTTTCCCATGATCCTTCTGAGGATGCCCAGCCTGAATGGGATTCGAAGGTTAGATTATGTTGTAAATTTTGTGTATTTCCTCATCTCTTTTTCTCTCCTTCCTTTATATTATTCTTGTGTATTTTTGCCCAATTAGTCTGAACGGTACCTGCCAGATGTAGGAGATCTCTGTGTTACCTGGAAATGACTTTTGCCTGGTTAAAGAGAATGTGGACTTTTCCTTATGGGTGTTGCATAAGGATTTCTTGGGCTCTGAATTTTTTAGTTTTATGAGAAAATATAGAAAGCAATCTTTAGTTGATCTTCTTTTCTTTTGCAGCCACCAAGATCACCTGTGGAGTATGAGGAACCTAAGCAGTGGGAAGAAGAGCACGTAGAACACAACCGTGACTATGACAGGGAAAGAGAGAGAGAACGAGAGAGGGACCAGAGAACCAGCAGAGGAGAAAACAGAGAGAGAGAAAGAGAGCGAGACAGAGAGCGGGACAGGAGGCGATCAGCAGAGCGTTCCAGGAGCAGGGAGAGGTCATGGGAGAGGAGTGAGAGGAGCAGCTCTAGGAGGGAATCCAGAAGAGAGAGTGGACGGGAAGGTGACAGAGAGAGGGACAGAGATCGTGAGAGGGAGAGGGATAGAGATTATGAGAGGGATCGAGACAGAGAGCGAGATTATGAGAGAGAAAGAGACCGTGATCGAGAACGAGAGAAGGAAAGAGAAAGAGAACGAGACAGGGATCGTGACAGAGATAGAGACAGAGACAGAGAAAAAGAAAGGGAAAGAGATCGAGAACGTGACCGTGCAAGGGATAGGGATAGAGAAAGGGAAAGGGATCGTGACCGTGATAGAGAACGTCGCCATAGCAGGGAAAGTAGGGATCGGTTTGAAGAAGAAAGGCTTTCTACACAGGAGCCTCTACCATCAAGAGGCCGACGCAGCATTGAGTAAGTTTGTGATCTGACTGATAAATGCATTATGGAAAATAATCAGACTTGAATTGGGCTATCATTGATGCCATTTAATTAGAAAGCCAATTGATTAACCATGAATGTGATATCTGCTTTTTCAGAGAATGGGATGAAAGAAGATCAGAGAGGTCTGATAGATCTGGCCGCCGTCCCCGCACACCCCTGGACTCTCTGCCTGCCCCTGGGTCACCTTATCGAGGAGACAACTTCAGTGAGGAAGGCAGCCGAGGTGGGACTCCTCGGGAATACAGAGAGAGGGAGGCAAGAGAACGAGAGCGAGGTGAAAATAGAGAATTTGAAGCGAGGGAACCACACACTGTCTTGCCTCCACTCCCAACACCAGGAGACATGGAGGCTATTAGTGATGATGAAGACCTACCAGATCTGCCTCCAGAAACAGGGGAAGTGGAAGAGGAATACCAAGGGGAAGACTGCATGGATGAGATAGGAATGGATGACAATCAACAGGATGAAAGTAAGTTTATTGATTCTGTTAATTGGACAAAGATATGGTTATTATGTTCATAAGTGTACTTTTTTACTATTTTGTTCTGCATTTCATTTCATATTTTTTAAATGATTTCCTTTTCTTATCTTGTCTTTTCCTTTTATCCATCACTCATAAGAGGTCCTACTTTTCAGATTTCATCCCAGTCTCTTCTGTCATACCCGTCTGAGATTATCTTTTCCATTCTTCTTGTATTTCTTCTCCATCAGATGTAGAAGATGTGGAAGGATTTATGTATGAGGAAATCATGAGTGACGAGGAAGACATACCTGAGTATCCATACACAGAGGAGTGGCTCATGGAAGAGTGGGAGGACTGGCTGAAACCCTTTTCACAAGACCAATTTCACCTTATGGAGATGAACCATCTTGTTAGTCCCACCCTCACAGAGTACCAGGTGGAGCACCAGAAGTGGAAGTATAGATTTGAGATGGAAGGGCCAGACTTGGAGGAGGAACCAACACAGGTGAGGCATAATGGGAAGAAATTATTTTGATGTAGGTGTAGGGCTGTCACCCATAAGAACTTGGCTGATAGAAGTGATATTGAGGGAGAAAATTACCTTTGATTATCAACGGACTTCAGTTAATGGTTGTGTTAACAGATGGAATGGTCTTCTGATGCCTAGTTGTACAACACAAGATAATCCCTACTTGCCATACCACAAATAGCTCCAGATTAAATTCTTTATATTTAGAAAATTTCAGTGACTTGGGTATCTTATAGACTGATTTGCTTTTTAAAAATCTTGGAGATTATTTGAATTGAAATTAGTCTATTGACTTTTTGATATCATAGGAAATTTGAGTCTTCATTATTGTTGAGTTACATAACTATAAAGCTAGAATATATGTTATTTACTACCTGTATAGTTAAAACCAAGTTTTCGATGAACATACATTTATGTATGATTTTTTTTTTTTTTTTTTTTCCTATAAAACTGGCATTTTATATATAAGCTTTTATTGATTTGCATTCTTATTCCCAGGCTTCAAAACTGGAGAGCTTATTAATAGAGACAGCTAGTCCCACTTCCCTCAGAAGCAGAAGCCTGCATGGAGATTGTGCAGAACCAGAAGTGCTTGTTCATCTTGCTTTTTTATTCTTCATCAGTTGAATTGTTACTTGTTTGTTTATCATCATAAATACTGCAATTTGGTACACATATGTATGTTGTCATTGCATCATCTGTGCAAGTGTGTGGCACCATTTGCATTTTCCAAATGAAAGATAGTGGTAAAAAGGTAGGAAACAGTTCATTGAACGTTTGACTAAAGAAACTACTACTACTATCACTATCATCATCATCAGTATCAATTATCATTGGTGGTGATGGTGTTATTATTATTATTATTATTATTATTATTATTATTATTATTATTATTGTTATTATTATTATGATTGTTATTACTATTATTATTATTATTATTATTGTTATTATTATCATCATCATTATTCTTATAACTGTTATGATATTTCCATCAGATATATAATTATATTATAGTCATCAATTATGATTTGCGAAAACATGAAAACTAGCAAAGCATGGAAGGCAGGAGGTGAGAGGTAGGGGGATCCTTATCAGTGTTTGAAATGTGCTTGCCAGGTCTGCGATAGGTGCAACTGCATGATGGTCTGTTCAGGGGGTTATGTAGCAACACTGGTGCATAATAGATGATAAAATTGGATAGAATAGGGAAAAAGGTATATAAATCATAATATTTCCTAACAGAGTCTATGCACAACTTCTTGGTCCTTAACAGTACTAGTTACAAACAACTGCCTAGTCCTGAAAGGATTAGGTTCTTTGTTCTATTTATTTGACATATTTGATCACCAAAAATTTTGAAAAATGATAGTGATAAGTATTGAAAGCTTTGTAATTGATATTAATGATTTCAACATTTGTGATGAATTCTTCATTAAAGACTTGTAGACTTTGATTAGAGACCTTTCTTCATTTTTGTATGTTTTTCATTACTTATTTTTAAGACTAAAGAATATAAAACCCATGTTACTGAACAATTGATTGATTTTTTTCCTTAGATATTGTATCAAAGTTGTGTAATTGGGTCAACATTGGACTAGACTTTGACATTGCCCTGAGTCAACAACAGCCAGTTTATAAGGTATGGTGGAAGATATTAGTCTTGAAAAGACTGCAGTCTGATAATTTTTAATTGTTTTTTCCATAAAGTGATTGAAGTTGTATAATGTATATAGGTCTGTAAACATATATATTCATGATATTTTATTATACTATAGGCACAGTATCATAGATCAGGAAATGTGCAACTTGTATATAGTCAAAGTGTACAAGAATTTTTTTTCCACAGATCCGTCATGTGAAAGCTGGAGTACGCCTAACCCACTTGTTACTACAGTGTTCATGTGAGGTGACAAAGCAACTCTTAGAAAACAATATAATGGATAAGCTATATGATCTTTACCACAAGCCACACATGGCTCTTTCTATCAAGCTTCTCATTCTTAAGTAAGTGACACATCTGTAGGGTTGATGGGAAACCTACTACATGAAAAAAAGTTTATTGAAAGACAAGACCTGGTTTTCATCTCCACAAAGATTTTGAAACTGATGTCTTATTTTGCAATAAATTTCTTTATTGCATTTTTTTTTTTTTTTTTGATAATTTTATGGACACAGTAATATATTTTGCCATTTATCTATAGTGTTCTATTTTTAAAGCTTTTGTATTTACCAGCTTTTAAGTATTTATCTTATCGATATGCCAGAGGTAAATGTGATGATTCTCTTTTTGTAGGACAATAGATGCAATTACGAGAACAGAGCTAGGACTCCGTTACTTGTTAGGAGAACCTCTTGAAGCTGACGTAGAAGAGAAGAAGCCACAGAAAAATGGATATGAACTCATTCTTGAGTTGCTCTCCAACGTGCAACAAACACGTGCAAAGGTAGGCTGGTGATTTTATGCTGCTTCATGGATAATTGTAGTATAAATGACCATGAATTTCCTTTGTGCATATTTTTGTTTGTATATTATTTTTATTGTCGTATTCTCTTCGCTGTTATTACGAAAATATTTTTCCCAGGTGGCCCTCTCAGCAATAGTGAGAAAAGTTCATCTACTGGAAGTGTGTCAGAAACTATATGAAGACACAAAAGCCCTTCTTCTTCATTTGCCTCCACTGGATGACGACAACAGAATAAAGGAAGAGGTAATGTTTTGCTTGTTTATTAGTATTATGTGATGATTTCTTAGAGAACAGCATATTGCAAATATCTAGTATGGTATTGTTATGTAATATTCTGTGTGATTTAATGATGTAATTATGTATAATCTATTTCACTATGTATGCATGTTTGCTAGAGTTTACTGTAGAATTTTAATATAGCTTATACAAAAAAATAACTTATACTTGGTAGGGGCCTCCTGAAGATGATTCTATGGAATTGGATGATGCAGAAAACCGTGTTGTTCTTCCTTCTAATTGGAGCAACAATATCCCAGATTCTCTCATTCAGGCAATTAAGTCGTGCTTACAAGAGATCATACGTGTGTACAAATACGCAGATCAGCTTTTGGCTCAACCTCACAGGTAAGCTTGTTCTTTATTTTTCTTTTATTTATTTTTATTATTTCATTTGATTGGTTCTTTGGTTTAGTATTGTGATTTACTCATTTTATTTATTTATATTTGTTCGTTAATTGGAATGTGACTGTTCCTTTTTTTCCCCCTTGGTCTGTCTTCATTTCACATTTCCCTTTCTTTTCATCTCTTGTTGAAATATGATTTTTTTATGCAGAATAAGGATTCAGAGAAATAGTGTAAATGGTGTGAGGTAGAGACCAGTGTCTCAAAAAATACATATTGTCATCATGTGATGGACTTCACTGTTTTGCAGGTGGCTTCCTGGCTCCAAGCAGTTCCAGTTGCCAAAGAATCCTCATGATCCTTACCCTCAGTTATACCTTGTGTTTGATCATGCAGACCTCCTTAACTCCCTAGCAGTGTTGCTTGGGGCTCTAGCAGCAGTCCAGAATGGAACACTGATTTCTGAGATGAAAAACCTGGTTGAGTGCATGCTTGCTTGTGGCCATGGCCTTAACTACATGGCTTCACATCCTCGTGCTACAGCTACCATCGCCAGGAGCCTTATTCAGGTTGGTTCTGGTACTCATTGTTATTGCATGAGGTACTGTTTCATTATAAATTTCCCTTTGATGAGATTAATGTATGTTTTGTATTGCATTGCTTCATTTGTGTATATTATTACCATTATTAATATATACATTGTATCACTCTTTACCCACAGTTTGGGGAAGATGGACGAGAAGAGGGTAATGATGACAACTTCCTACACCAGTTGGGGTTGAAAATCATACACATATTCCATGCTTTGCAGCAGTTAGATGCACTGGCCCAGTTAACATCATCCCACAACACTGATTACTCTCAGTCAGTGACACACTTCAACATGCTAACTTCCCTCCTCCTTTCATCTGCTGGTCGGCAAGCCATCATCAGTGTCTTGAGTTTGGGAAGGAATCTTGAAATTTTGTTTCCTTACCTTAAGTTGGGAATTGGTGATGATCAAGACAATGCCCCAACAAGAATAGCATGTTATGGTTATACAGTAGATCTCATAGTGCTGACTGTCAAGTTTTCTGACAATGTAGAAATGCTAGAACGTTATGGGGAAAAGTTACTTGAGTTGATTGAATATGAAGAGACTCGTGAAGGACCCAAACTGGAAGAACATGCTAAGCTTTGCGAGATAATTCCATGGTTATCAATTACCAGATCTGCAGAAAACTTTACTTATGACAATTTAACTAATATATCAAATAATCTCAAAGACCACTTAGATAAGATAGACAAGTTTTCTGGTGAATTAGTGACACATTTACGTATCTTAAAGCACCTGACAGTGCCCAAGTACCCAGTGTCGAGTTTGTCAGCAGAGGATCATAATGGTGAGATGATTGAAGAACTGAAGTACAAATATGCAACTGTGCAACTTTTTTCAGCAGACTGCCACACTCACTTGACAAACCTTCTTACGAAGTTGTGTGCCATGTATTCCCAACCTTATGTTCATAGTGCTGATTTTGCCAGCTCTGAAGGTGCAGTACTCTTGGCTGTGATTGAACCTACATTAAGCCTGTTAAAGAACATACTGACATACGTTATTCAGGCTAGGAACACCAACTTCAAGGACCTCACAGCAATTGTTCCCCTTGTGCAAACCTACCTCTTGCTTCAGTCATTCCCACTTGGTTCACAACACATCACCCGTGCCCAGGACCTCCAGCAGGAGGTGATCAGTATACTTCTAGTATACACACAGCCTGTTTATTCCAAGGCTGAAGGAGAAGAAGTCTTGGCCAAGAGTTTGTGGACAAAAATGATGTCAGAGGTAAGTCTATTTATAATGGTTCCAAGTGATGTGATTATATGCCTATTACATATACTTGTTGCAAGGCAAGAGGGAGTCCTGAAGGTATTCAAACTAAAACTATGTTTATTAACCATTTAAAGTAATTTAAAAAAAAGTACATTCAGGTACACACTGATACACACAGATACCCGCAGATACATATACACAAGGGCACATACATGCACAGACATAAACATAAATACCCATACAGAGACTCAGAGGTAACAAAAACACACTTAAAAGAGCACTTGCACTTACACTTACATTCACACTCAGACTTTTACACACACTCCACACCCTCACACACACGCAGCATTCCCACACACTGTCAAAACTCAACATTCACACACACACTCAATAATCAACACTCCCACACACACTCAACAATCAACACTCTCACACACACTCAACAATCAACACTCTCTCACATACACACTCAACACTCACCACTCAACACTCCCCCACACATTCAACACTCAACACTCTCCTACACACTCAACACACACTTACTTCAACACTCAACACTCTCACTCACAGTTTAATACTCAACACTCTCACACACACTCAACACTCACACACACACACACACACTCCTCAAACATGCACACTCCTCAAACATGCACACTCCTCAAACACACACTCACACACACACACTTACACATGCATATACATATACATAAACATTAACAAAAACATAAAGAAATATATACATACACATACATGTACATACACATACACATACATATATACATACATACATACATACATATATATATACAAACATACATATATACATTCATAGATACACACACACATACATACATACACACATACATAATGCACTCATGCATGCAGACACACACAGAATGCATGTACCAATATGTAAGTTACAGAATATTACTAGTATTATTGTATTTTTATTAATTTATCTGTGCATATATTTTCAGATTTTCAAGTTCCTTCTGACTGCTCCACACACATTCATGGGAGTCATCAGTCTCATCATAGAGTTGCTACCACTGCCATTACCCATCCAGACCCGAACATCTCTCTCAGAGGAAGAGTCTTCACAGATTATCAATCTGCGGAAACTCTGGAGTGCCCATCTGTACTGTCTTTCCTCCAACATTCATGAAATAATCATGAGATTAGGCCTGGCAAGCTTCCCTCCTCTCATGCACCTTCTCCGTAGAATGTGCGTTGCTTTGTCTGATCTAGCAGCCCCCATGGCCTTGCTGGTTGGAAGAGCAACCCTGGACCTGGTAATGCAGGCACACAGAGTAGATCACCGAGCTTCTGGTGATGACTTTGGCCCATGTTCTCTCCAGACAGGTCGTGTTCTTAACATGTTAGCACTCTTGGTATCTCATGCTCCCACAAAAGCTGCAGTTTTACATTTGCTTCAGGGAGGCTCTCCTACACTGTCTGCCACTCCAACAAAGGGTGATGACAAGTACATGGGCCTTGTAGCTCTTTGGTGTCGTATTCTTAATGTAGCAGCTAGTGGTTCACATGCCCATATACAGGCTCAGGACTGCCTTCTCACGATCATTCAGTACTTGTGTGATCATGAAAATGCAATGCATGTTGCCCAAGAATGTACCATGCAGGAAGGGGAGACACAAGAGCCCAATACAACCTCATTGACTCTGAGTGGTCTGCCAAGCAAGGATACCTTGATACCAATAATTGATGCTCTGATTGATCATCTCAGAAACCCACATAGTTCCCATCAATCAATTCAGCAGGTCCTGAGAGCCCTCATGAGACTCATGGAGCATGATTATGGCTTTTATCATGTTAAAAGGTAATTGTTGAAAATATATATCATATGTGTAAGGTTAGAACAAATATCACTATCTTGAATAGATGTATAGGGCTGAAAGGATATTTGGTAGGCATTGTTTTTTTGTTTTGTTTTTAATATGAAGTATATTGAATCTGATTATTAATGTTTTTAAGAAACCAATCTTCCTTGGCATTTTTGAAGACCAAATGCAGTATGCCAAGTCTAGGATCAATATTGAGAATATTGAATATAACTATTTTATATTTTTCAGTGTAATGGAGAAGAAAAGAGCCTGTCTTTTAAGTCTCTTCAAGAGACTGAGCTCATCATTTAGAAAAGAGTCACAGGAACATGTGACGACACTTCAGGGAGCACTGGAATTTTGCCACCTGTTAATAGCATGCGATGATTCCATCTCAGTGCCACGGACATTAACTGTGACTCCCCTGGAAGTAGCAAGTTACCTAGGCTGGAAGGCTGGAGGTTTAGAGATGCAGTATATAGGAAACAGTTAAAAAAGAAGAAAAGGAGAAGGAAAAGGAGAAAGAAAAGGAAAAAGAGAAGACAGTCAAAGAGGCATCTGCAGAAGAACCAGGAAGCAGCCAAAAGGAGGATGAGTCTATGGAGAAAGAAATGGAAGTAGAAGTGAAACAAGAGGAAGCTGAACCAACTGAAGAAAAGGAGGAAGAGCCAAAAAAAGAGGAATTTAAAAAGGAAGAGATCAAGAAAGAAGAAAAAATAAAGAAAGAAGAACACAGGAAAGAGGAAGACACATTGGAGTTGATTCATCCTTTAAAGCTGTTAGAAAAGCAAGTTGTGGTACGTTACTTTTTTATATTTTTTATTGTGGGCTATGCAGATGGTGTCTGATTTACCAGCATTTCCAACTTCTTTTTTGTTTTACATTTCACCATTTAAGAAATAAACAGTGAATGTATAAGACTAATATGTTAGCAAGGAATATGATTTTGAAAAGGTTATTGAGTGTAAATGTAAACAATTGGATATGAATATTTGGCATATAATGGTAGCTGTAAGGTGAAGGATTTCATGGACAGTTATATATTTGGTTATTTACTTTTCTTTACTTGATTTTTAACAGGCTGAAGGATGTGAGGAGGAAGCCATGGAATCGCTTTATGAAGAGATTTCGCAACTGATAGCAGATTTAGACCAAGCTCACACCTTTGAAGTTAAAGGTTAGTGTATGGAATTACTTATCAATATTTCCCAAGTTCATTTTAGCATATGAGACGTGGATAGTAGAGTATTATTAATTTTTTTCTTTCAAATAATTAGATCTGTCATTATTGCTGTTATTGATCTCCAGGCTTCCTTTCATAGGAAGCCAGCACAGTCGTATCCCTAATTTTGCCCTTCTGTTGAAGAACTTGCTGAACCAGCTGGGCCTGAGACAGAGACACTGCAGACTCTATTTACGTCAAGGATTGTGTGGACAATCCCTGTGGCTGAGGATGAAATTCCTTCATTCTGGCTCATGCCTCCAGGTTACGAGGATGCTGAGGACTCGGAAATGGTTTGTCCATATTGAGGTTTCTTTTGCATTTTGAAACAGTAGAAGGACAGCTTTTATATATGGAAATGGTTGCTGTTTGTTTTCTTCATGTGAATTGAATGAACTGATACTGTGTTAACTATAGTTACTGAATAATCTTCAGTTCACTGCATTCCATTTATGATTTAATTTTTGTTTTTTTCTTTCTTTTTACATTTTGGTATTTGCTCCTTTTTATTCCTCCCCTTCCCGGCTCTCTCTCTCTCTCTCTCTCTCTCTCTCTCTCTCTCTCTCTTCTCTCTCTCTCTCTCTCTCTCTCTTCTCTCCTCTCTCTCTCCCTCTCTCTCCCCCTCCCTCTCCATCCCCTCCCCTCCCTCCCTCCCTCCCTCCCTCCCTCCTCCCTCCCTCCCTCCCTCCCTCCCTCCCTCTCTCCAGCCTCCCTCTCCCCAGCCTCCCTCTTCCCCAGCCTCCCTCTCCCAGCCTCCCTCTCCCCAGCCTCTCCCAGCCTCCCTCTCTCCCTCTCTCCACCTCTCCAGCCTTATCCCTGCCTATCTTCCTCCCTCCCTCCCTTCCTCCCCCTCTCTTTCCCTACCTTCATTTGTTTGTTTTTTGTTTTGTTTGCTCTCTTTATAAATCATTTTATGAATTTGTTAAAGTGGTATTATATTTGGTGTAATAACTTTTGCACTACCTTTTATCTCATGTATCAATTTCACAGATCCCAACCAACCTGCTCGAAACCTGCAGGCAATATGCAGGAGAGTATGATCTTTTAGGAGCCCTCCACAAGCTGGTTAAAGGACAGGGATCCCAGACACTGACTCCACAAAAGTTATGCAAAGCCCCTCCAAGGTACAAGCCAAGTGCAGCTGCCATACGTCCGGACAAGAGAGGCAGACCATTCGGTGAGTTTTAAATACTATTTATTCAAAAGTTCTTTATTTGCATTACCTTTATCATTTGTTTTCCTTTATAAGAGACTCTGATCCTCTAAATTATACATGCCTTTACCTCACCCAGTTGCACCCATGAGAGGACGTTCCTTCACTCGAGGGATAAACATGAGAAGTGACCCCTTCCGCTCACGTCCACCCAACACCTCCCGTCCCCCATCTCTCCATGTGGACGACTTTGTTGCACTGGAAAGCACTGGACACCAGCCCACAGGACCCACTGGATATAATAAAATATCCTTTGGTCGGGGCAAGGTACATGTAAGGTTTTCTCTCTCTTTGTTAATATTTGATAGTTTTTATTTTTAAATGTTCTGTTTAGTCAGCTTTAGTCAGATTAAACTTATTTGGAAAATATTGTTTCTTGATATTATTTGTATGTAGAGTTAGAGTTTGAGTTCAAAAAGTTGTTTCTGTGTGCTACACATTTTCTGATAATAAGAATGGCAGTAAAGACTCCTTTTATATGCATATATATTTATTCTTTTTTTTCTTCTTCTTCCTATTCTTTTATATATCATGTGTCTATCCTTTCAGACTTATTGTTTATGGAATAGCATTAGTAAGCTAATAGTCTGTGAAAGTGTTCAATTTATAAAATGTGATTGAGAATGAAACTAAAATTGAGAAGATAACTGAAACAAAGTTTTTTAAGATCATTCACTTTCAAGTACTAGGAATGGGCAAAGATGAATACCAAAAAAGGTTTTTATCTTGGTGCAGGTTAATAGTTTTAGGGGTTTTAGGTTTCCTCTCAGTTTTTAAAAATGTTTATACATGCATTACTTTTGGTATAAGAAAGTGATATCTTTTGCTTCCTTTTTCAAAGGGCTCTTTTTCAAACTGATGGTAAATCACAGCAATTTGGTTACAGTTCCTCTTGGACTCAATGCGAGGCCGTGGCAGCCGTGGTCGTGGTGAGAGCAGAGGTGCCAGATTCTTCCACCGTCCACCATTTAGGCCTGATTGCGGTAGGGGTTAGTTGAGCTTGTTTTTTGCATAGCTGCACAAAATCACAGAGAATTGTTGGTGAAAGGAAAATTTAACAGAACTAATATAAGCTTGTAGAATTTGCTTGTGTGAGTCTAGATATTTATTCATTTTGTTTTATTTTACATTACATAGTGTAAGCTTTTACTGATTTATAGGTTTGAGTAAAATGATTCTAAAAAGAGTCTTTTGGTATTACTAAAAATTACTAATGAATTGGAGAAATATTTGGATATATTAACAAGGCATTACAGCATGTAAATTTACATTATATAACATAAAAATCCCAGATTAATTGAAGATTGCTCATAACTACAGCAGCATTTCATATATTAAGTGGGAGAACATGCAGAACTGATAAAAAGGCTGTGCATTAACCCATTAGATCTAGTACATGCACTGTGTACTGTCACTTTTTATCAAATTTGTTTACCCAGGGAAGGGATGCCTTCACAAGTCCTTAGTCTACCTTAAGTGTCTATAATTTTATTATTATTATTATTATTTTACATTGTTTTAATTATAACATTACTGATATTACTTTCTAAAGATTTAAGGAATAGGGTAAACAGGTGAGATCGCCAAATAACTCCTTGATAACTAAGTACGTGTAGAGCCATCCTTATGTAAACAAAGTTAAGAAACTGAAATCACAGTAGACATAGCTAGCATGGATACATGCCCACCTTACCACAATAGTAACTATAAGAAATTCTAGTTTTGATTCTAGTTTTGATTATGATCTCCATGTATACAATTTTCCATTATAGTTTTTCATTAATGGTACTCAAATCAAGTCATGGACTCAATAAGATTCCTGTTGCTAATACATCTCTCTATCTTAGGTGTTGTACGCGGGATGAATCCAAGAGGCCGTGGAATGTCCTGGGTCTTCCGTGGTGACAGTTCTCCTAGGGGTTATCGTGGGGTCTCCATGAATCCGGGACCAATGCGGTTTATAAGGGGCCGTGGACTGTATATAAGGGGTAATGGGGTGAGCAGTGGTCCAAAGGAGAGGTTCCCACCAAAGTTTGTAGAACGTGGAGGAAGAAGGGACATGAATGGAGGAAGACACATCAGGGGTAGCTTTAGGTGAGAGTACTGTAGCTTTATCTCATCATTTTCTCTTTTATTCTGTAAATAGTTCATAGATGAGGATGTGTTTATCTTGAGTAGGAACATAGAGAATCATATGTATTGGCTAAAATAAGTATCTGTATTCAATAATTGAGTTGTATAGAGAAAAGTGAAGAGGGAGTTACAGGATATATTATTTTTGAAAGAAAAAATAGATAATTAAATTAAAATTTTCTCAGGTTGAGTGTTTAATACTCATACCCTTGCTTAGAATTTAACTGAGCACTGAAGTCTTCGCATTTACAGTATATGAATTTGACAGTTCTCTAACTGTCTTTGCTATATAAATTAGTTTTTTTTCCATAGTGTGTCTCATGTAAATTTCATTTATTTATGTGTATGGTGATGTATATAAAAGTGTGTTTGTATATGTACACACACAATACATGTGTGTTTATATATATGCGTGTATGTATGTGTGATTGCATACACATGTGGCAAATACAAAATAAGTGTCCAGTTTTTTAAATAAAATTTCCCATTGTAGTTTCTTATTGTAATATCTTCTGTTTTTTCTACAGTCACTCAAAAAAATATTATTATACAAATAAAATTGATTATTTCCAAAGGTTGTAGTATTATCCTTTCATAAGGCAAAAGGAATAGTGGCTCCAGACACTGCAATTATATTGTGAAAATTATATCATCCTATTCAGACAAGAACAGAATCTGATATGTATGGTGAATTGTAGTCCCTTATAACTCATTTAACATAAAGAAATCTACATCTCACATAACACAACTTCAGAGGTAGATTAAAACCAAACCCAAAGTCTGGTTGTGAAGCTGGAACTGTTCCCTCTTTTGGTTAATCCTGTCTATCTGGTACCTTTCCATTTTCAAAGAATATTTTCATAAGCTCCAGTAGCTTAGGCAGCAGATGGAACGAAATATGTATGCATACTGATGGAAATACATATTTATTAACGACAGTATGTGAGCTAAAACTAGAATGGAGGCCATAAAGCATAGATTTCCACCAATGCCAAGAAATCCAGTTTCAATATATGTGTATTACAAGTCTGTCAAATAAAATGCATTTCTCATCAGAACAATTATCGTTGGTGAATCATTTAAGCAGATCCAATTAATCACCAAAATTTTATCAGCTGCTCTCAAGACCATGTCTAAACCACAAATAAACAAATCAAGGAATGTATCAGGGAATGCAAAAGAAAACCTCCTCATTCAGTAGAAATAATAAACTGGTATAGCCTACTGAATGGTTAAAAGTATTCTTCACATAAATTCAAATCTGTGCTTTGGTTTTTAACCTACACATGCAGTTGTACATGAGAATCTGGACATATAAAAAATGTAAGAAAGTGACAGGTACATCATATTGTTATGCACAAAATGGTTGTATGGGATTAACTTAGGTTGACATTACATACCCTTAATAACCAACAATGTCAGAGCAGATAAATATCATTATATAACCGTTATCATATGTTACGTGTGATGGTCATTAATTTCTTGTTTATAGTGGACAGATTTATTCTCTAATCTCTATTTTTAACTCTTCTTTTCCCCATAATGATTATTTTAAATCAGCAATCAATCACCCACCCTCTCCCTTTAGCTCCTTTCTTCATCTACTCCCCTGTATCCTTATCTTTGCCCTTCTCTCTCATTTCCTTTTTCTTTCTCTTTCTCATACTGGAGTGCAGTAGGTTTACTACAAATTTCTAATGGAGTGATTAATGTAAACTACAAATGCAACACAAAATAAAACTGCCCATTCATTCTGTTTTGCTTTACCTGACTGGGAATGAAGATGGGTTTGAAATCCCATGTATGGTTGTTTCATTTTTATTTCATTATTTTATGGGCTAAAATCTGACTATCAAGTAGTTTGTCTTCAGGGCAAATTCTGGAATTCAAAATACTTGAAAAATTACTACATTAATCTTAATCTGAACATTCTGGGAAAGTATCTGACTCTTGCATTACCAGCATGTTCATTGGTTGGGGACTGAGCTTTACAGCAGCTGTTGGTCTCGTGATATACATGTGCTTTGCAGTTATACAAATACAGGTAATATATAGCTTATGTCCCAGATTTAGAATCGGGTATTCCTTACACTTAACTGTAAAGTATCATTGTGTTATTGTGCCTCCATATTAGTTTCAACCCAACGACATGTTATGCACTTTTCCAGGCTAACACAGGCTATTAGTTTGCCGTTTGTATCTTTCGTAGCTGTGTTGAGGAAATTTACGGTATTCAATAGCATCCAGAAGCCCCTTCGAAGATTTTCCAAACTTTCTTATATAAAAAGACGTTTTGGTGATTCAGAATTTTGCAAGAGGAGCAACTGAGTAGTGTCCAAGAACAGTATATGCCCATTGTCTGTGGATCTCTATTGGACTCCCTGTCATATTTAGAGTTCGTGCCTCCCTCTTACATCCAGATTGCCATTCTTTCCACAGCTTCTAATGGCCTCAGATGTTGATGAGGCAATTTTGTTTAAATCGTATTGCACATGTACACCAGAAAACTAAAGTAAAAGGATCTAAAACATAAACTGGAATCACTGAATCTTTCGCCCACTTATTTTCAGTATTACGTACACTATTGATATGAAACTCAAGTGTAACATTTCTAAAGTTGACAACGAAATTGATTGGGCTAATCATTCGCATAATGAAAATGAAGAGCTT